AGTTGGTGCTCAGAGCTGGCTCCAATCGCCTGCTTCCCAACACCCTTTTCGCTCGTCGCGTTGTCGGCGTGGACTCAGGGCCCGAGGCCCATGGCAGCGCGGCCCAAGAGTTGTCGATCTCGCATCGAGATATCGAGATGTGGCACGTCGATAGACAGCTTCGGCAGAAATAGGTAGGCTTCTTGGTGCGCGTTATTGGCTGAGATGAGATGTCATGGAAATGGGCTGTGAGGAGACGGGAAATGTTTGCCTTCCCGCCACTAACCAGTGACACGCGTGCATTGAACTAGAGAACATAGCCAAGAGGCCAACAGGCCACCCTTGCCAAAAAGGTGGCATCAAGCGTGATCTTGCGATCTTGCGGTTACAACCTGCACTGCCCCCACCCCCCACCTTTCCGCACAATGCGTCACAATGCAACAGCAGTTTGTATTACCTGATAGATCGTATAATATGATAATTATGTATAAGGTTAAAAGGCATGTCAGAGCTTCCAATGTCGAATGGTTGAGAGTTTATAAGAGAAAAAAAGGGCTAAACGACGCTCGCGTTAAAAATAAATACCATCTGTTGTTTTCTATTGTGGTAGAAAATGTTCAGGGTTGCTATTACTGCCAAGAGTAATAGGTACTGTCTGTCTGTTGGCAGGGAACAAACTCACACGTGTTCACACACACACACACGCACGCACACGCGCGCACACACACACACACTCACACACACACACACACACACACACACAAGCGCGCGCGAAACTAAACCGACGCACGACTTGACTCGCGATGAACCGATTGCTTTTCAGAGAAAGCAGATCATGCGCTGCAATGTAGCGATTTGGTGCGATGTGTATGAGGTGTGTGTGTGTGTGTGTGTGTGTGTGTGTGTGTGTGCGTGTGCGTGTGCGTGTGCGTATGTGTGTGCGTTCGCGTTTGTTACGGTAATGATGATGATCAGCTGCGCGCGTAGCGTTGCGGCGCGAGTGACAAGCTGCACTGCATGTTGTGTTCGGAATGAAAGTGACGAGGAACACCGCGGCGCGGCCGGCCAGTACGTACGTACGTACTGCGCAACGATGAGAAGCGAACGGTCTTCTCCCATCAGGCTCTCATCAGGCGGCAAGCAGGGGGAAAAAAATGAAATAATATTTCACTGGTGACGGCGGCGCGACGGGTCGGGCCCGGTGGGGGGCTTCACTGAAAGGCAAACCACGCTCTTGATTAATCCGCGGACGCATCAACTACTGTGGCTTTTTTTATGTGTGTTGTTTAATGTTTTCGCTGCTGCCCAGTTACTGCTGCTTAAGGGATCGTCCAAAAAGCACGCCTTTTTTTCCTCCGACTCATTCGGAAAATTGCGGAAGCTAGGCGCCTGCGAGACGCAGGGTAGGCCACCCCGCAGTGCACGCATGCACTGCAGGCGAGATGTTGCCTACCGCATCAGGCGCTATGAGAGCTTGCAGAGCCTGAACTTTAGTAAGGTTCGCAACGTGCGCACTTTCTGGATGGCCCCCAACGGAACCATTCTTCAAAAAATGTTTTTTTTCATGCAATTTTTTATTGTTACTTTATGTTTAGAGCTGACCGTAATCTGAAAATGTCAGAAATGTTGCGCATATGTTATGTTGCAGTACCCCTAGGGAAAGGGGGGGGGAGGGGGGGGAGGGGTCAAACCCTAGAGAAAACCACAGTCTTAGCACACAGATTTTTATCATCGTCAATCGGCTTATCAAAACGGGAAACTTTTTACCTTCGGCTGGTGAGTCACAAGGCCCGTGGCACAAGTTCAAGTTCAAACTGTCTAAACAGGGCCCGTGGTTAACTCGGGAGGGGGGGGGGGGCTGCAGCCCCTCCCTCTTTTCCGGCACCCGTGCTCCGACATATATTGGTGTTTTCAGGGTCGCGTTGAGAGGCGCACCAGGTCAGCGAGGCGTTCAGGTCTCTAAGCTGTCGCCGCACTGTTTGTTGACTCATACCTTCCCGCACTGACATCGTGTGTCACACTGTGTCACAGGCGTGACGATGGTCGCAGCGTGACGGGCGCGAGTGACGACCAGGCGTGACCGAGCGTGACGCGTGACGACGTGACGAGAATGCGCATCCTCAGGAACCGGCGCCAGGCCGGCGAGTGGGTGAGTACATCGGTGAGTACAGGTGTCGCGGTCGGTGGTGACGGCGATGGAGAGGGTCTTCAAAACGACCATATCCAGTGAGAAATCGAAATCTATGCGATATCGAGTCGATACAGAGAAACAATGTCAGATATCAGAAACGTGTCGATCGCGACTATTTCGTGTTGGATTCAATACGAAAATCAGCGAAAATCGATAATTTTCCGATATCGATATTGTCCTGACATCGTTTCGATAGCACTATTGATCAGTGGGTTAGATCCGCTGGGACCAGAGCCCCTCACCGAGGCGGGCAGCGGATGCCCATACACTGCGTCCGAAAGCGGCAGTGAGAGGGAGGCGCTCCGGTAGCTCCCTCTCACTCCCATTCGCTTTTCGGACACGAACTGGACATGTGGGCATGCCCAGTGCAGGGCTCTGGCTACGAACCCCTGCTATACCCGCCTGCCGCCTTTCGGGTAAGGGATCGTCCATAAAGTACGTCCGTTTTTCGCGGATTCTTTCGACAAAATACGGGCGCTCGGCGCCTGCGTGCCTCGGGGTAGGCCACCCCGCAGGGCACGCCTGCACAGCAGGCAGGATGTTGCCTACCCAACAGGCGCTATGGGACCTTGCATAGGCTGAACTTCGAAACGGCGATTGACGGACGTACTTTCTGGATGATCCCTAACCTGCCCGGCGGTCCAGGACGGTCCAGGAGAGCCCCTGACGAGCGGGGTGTAGGCACTCCCGAACAGCGTTTTCCTCGGCGGGTTGCCTATCACGCCCAGCTCAGGGGCTCGGGGGCTGTGGGTGCGCGCGCGCGCGTGGCATGCCGGACGTGCAGGTTTCAGGCCAAACCCTCCCTCCGTGTTGCAGGTGTACTCGACCACCAGCAGCACCAGCTGCAGCTCCAGCGGCCACAGCTGCGACAGCCCCACGGAGCCCGCCTTCAGGCACGTCGGCCGCCACAGCACCGGCTTTCACGTCTGGAGGGTCGAGGTGAGAAAGCACTGCCTATTGCTTCTACTTCACATTCTATAACTTTTTTTACTGCACATTTTGACGTTTTCGCGACGCCACGTCGCGTGAGCTCGGCTCGGCAGCGTTGGGTGGCGGGTGGCGTTGGCACTAGGCGGGGTGCCGACGAGGTGGCGCTGCTCTCAGGTGCACTTCTACGCCCACCCGCTGCCCGCGACCGGGACGGACCGGAAGGGCTCAAACGCGCCATATCGCAGCGAACGGGTCGGACTCGGGGCTCTATGGTAGTCGGCGACATTTTAAATTTCGGATCCCTAGAGCCTCAGGAACAGGAAACCGAAGTACCAAAGGATTCTGAAACACCTCAAGCGGTTTCGGATATATCAGTTGTTGGTTAAATCACGTGTGTACGCCGTGTCTCGAACACTTTAGAAGTTCGTACGTCGAAAGATATTGTTTTGAAAAACATTTTTAAAATGTGAAAACTTTTGACTCCCGAGATACTCGAGTCCAACCGTTTTTTGGAACCGTCCGACGGTTCGCTTTAGCCAGAAAGCATCCTGACATTCAGGGGCTCGGAACAAAATCGATGCTCGCAAAGTCAGGGCGCATAGTGCTATGCGGGTGGACGCCCGCGCCCTGGCCACGCCCGACTTACTTAGAGAAAAGGAGGGGGTGGGTAGCAGGTGCCTGCTCCAATTGCAACGCCATCAGCACCACCCTCTCCTGCCAGCACCTGCACGGAGGGTACCAGAGGGTACACAGCCGCGGTGACAATGGGACATTGGCCGCCTCGTTATCTCCCGGTGAGGGAAGACCCTGCACTGCTCGTGTTGCTCCTGCCTCGCGTACGGGCCGGCCTCCCTGCTCCCTTATGGTCCGGCCCGGGGGCCCCTGCATTACCACCTGGCGCCCCGCCCCGCCCCGCCCCGCCACACGCTGGGCGCGCTGCTTGGGCCGATATAACACGCGGCTTGCGGAGCACATCAGTCTGGCGCGCCCGACTCGCGACAGCGAAAGTCCCTCCTCTCCTCCCTCTGCGGAGCGCGCACACCGCCTCACACTCGGGCTACTGCTGGGAACGGGGAATAATTATGGTCCAGGAATCTCCTATACTTCCTCCCTGGTGTCTGCGGCCGCGGCCAGTTGAGCATAGGAGGCCCCCCCCCCCTCTATGTTCCGCCCTGCTCGCCACGCCCTCTGTCTCGCTCGCGCGCGCTGCATTTCCGTATGCGTAAATCTGTGACGAGTGCAAATGGGTGGGAAGGGATGCTATCATCGGACCATAGGCGCACCCCGCACCCGTCGAGCCGAGCAGCCCGAACCTTACTGGCGGAGGCGGGCGGAGGCGGGCGGAGGCGGGCGCACCACCGTTCTCGAGGTTATTATCCCATGCCGCGCCATTCGCGCCAAACGGGCCTCGCGCCTGTCGCCGTTTCAATTAAACGCCCATCTGCAGAGTCCCCCGCGGCGGGCTTAGCTTACCTCACTGGAAGGTCTCATCGCCGTGCCCCCATCGCGCCGCAGACGTTTGGCGAGGAGCAGCAGGAGATTATCTCTCCACCACCCGCGTCCTCGCCTCGGGTCTTATCTGGCCGCCACCTACAGAGGAAAGTAAAAATTGTATCATCGCAATTGTAAAGAAAAACGAGGGGGGAGGAGAGGAAAACTCCAGAGAAAAGTGAGCCGGTCTAATTTTTATGGATGTATCGTTCATGTTGAATAGGCAGCGCCTCGAGCAGCGCCCAACAGTAACCGAGTCCCACCTCTAAAAGCCGTTCGCGTTGTGGGGAAATAGATATAAAGTAAGTTTTTACAGCCGCGTCTCTGTGCTGCCGTTCGGAACCATCACCGTTATCAGACCAAGATCCCCTCACTTTCCCTGGACCCGCGGGCCGGGCCCGGACGGCGCTTAGCAGCTGCACTCATCTCTGCACTCGGAGCGCGCGCAACGCCGTCTGGGAAGGGAACGGCTCAAAGGAGAGGGGAGAAGACGCCTGGATTTGGCGGGGAAAAAATAAAAAAAAAGATATCTTGTTAATCGTTTCCTCCTTCGTGACATGCAACGAAAAAAAAGTTTCTCCTCTTTCTCCAAGCCGCAACACACAGTGACAGGATTCAGGAGGTGAACGCCGGTAATCGCTGCAGCTCGACGCTCCGAGCCAGGGGGGTACTCACACTCGGACATTTTTTCAAGCTGCTGTCAGGCTGTCCCTTCCGGTAGTTACGCCCCAAAAAGGAGGCCAGGAGGGTGCGCTGTGCACACAAACAAAACGACTCGAGGGCCGCGCGGCGAGGGCTCCATCATCGGGATCCCTATTAATTGGATGGGCGACCTGGTCCCGGAGTCTCGGAGCCACAGGAGGAGGCAATTTGCTGCCGCTGCGAGGCGCCATGCAGTGTCGCTGGGTGCAACGCCGCGCAATGCAATGCAATGCAGGCGATTTGCATCTCTTTGCACGGCGCGCCATTGTTACGTGAGTGTTGCGCGGGGCAGGTCAGGTCGCACGACGCTCGGGGGATAAGGGGGGGAGGGGATAGTAACATTATTTTTTTTTGCGGGGAGGAGTGGGGCAAGGGAGGAGGGGGAGAGGTGTGTCCAGAACTAGAATAGGGAAGTAGTGCGAATGCAACTTTTTTTTTCTTGTTCTTGTTGCAGCATCTGCAGGTGGTGACCGTCCCGCGAGACCAGTGGGGTACGTTCCACGATGGCGACTCGTACCTCCTGTTCGCCTCGTCCGAGCGCGACCAGCCGGCGGGACCGCACACCAGAGTGAGTCAAGAAGGTTCATGAGCATCCACGACCAGCAAGCCCCGCCGCAGCCCCCGCGCCGCCAACCAGAAGTGTGCCGTCCTGAAGGGGTCGGTCCCCCGGGTCCTGCAGTGATTGGCAAACACTTCTGTTGTTGGGCGGCGCGGCGGAGAGGAGCCGGGCCGGGGCTGGGCTGGCGGTGCCGCTCGGCGAATCCGGAGCTTCACTACGATGCCCTACGGATAAGGCAACAATAAGTAACGGGCGCTCCGGCCCCCTTTCCCCTCACCCGCGATGCCCCGCTCAAGCAGTTCCATATGAATCACTCGCAGACAATGGGCGACTGCCCCAACGGCCCGCGCCGCCCCACCCCCGCCCCTGTCCGACCTGTCCAACTCATCATTATGTCTCTCGAATGAATGAACTGCACTGAAGCAGAAACAAAAGGGAGGAAGCGTGCGCCGTCTAAATGCTATCACTTTCTCGCAACAAAAAAATAATACTTTCGTAGCTTCACGTGTACGCGGGGTTGGGAGTGCGCAACCTATTCCCAATACGGTGGGGCATTGTGCTTAATGAGAACTTCTATTCCTGGTGGGTACTGTGTTATTTTGGATTGTTCTCGGGACATATTGCGTTTCGTTGCGACCCGCCTGTAGCCCAGGATCCCTCTCTGCCTGTGCAACTGAAATCGACAGTGCCACTAACATGCCGTGCGAGCGCTCCGGTGCGGAACGCTTGGTGACCCTGAGTCCTCAGTTCATCACAGTTCAGCCGACCACATCGGACGTCTCGCTCGCACTCGGTGGCGGTGGCGCCGCGGCGCTTCGGAGGGTTCCCGCATAGTGCCGCCGGTGTGCCAGGGGGGCCTATCTGGGCCCGCCCAGGGCGTGGCGGCCTGGCGGCCCCGGGGCGGGGCGGGGGCCGCGCCGCAATGAGGTCCCTGACGAGGGGCGGGCCGCCCCCGCCCCCGCCCCCGCCAGCCAGCACACCCGGGGCGAGTCACGGAGAGGGAAAGGCTTCGCTAACGATGCTCCCAGTGCCCGCACAGCACACCCCGCCCCGCCGCGCAACTCTGACCTATCGCCAGGCACACGTCCACCCACGACCTGCACTCGCGAGTCGGGACGCGGGGCGGCTTGCGAAAGCCGAGAGCTTCGCGAGCGAGCCCCTTGTCGCTGGCCTATGCTGGCGGGCGGGGCGTGTCCGGCCCTGGGCCCGCACCGCGCAAGAGTTGTTCGCAGTCTCGTTCTTGTCGGAAGCGAGCGGCGGTGATGAGGGAAGGCGTGGCGAGGCGCGGCGAGGCGGGACGTCCTCAACCCAGCAGCAAACGGGCGGGGCGGGGCGGGGCGGGGCGGGGCGGCACCGCGATCGCAAATAAGTGGCAGAGCGAGCGCGGAGCTGCGGGGCGTTCTGTCTCTCCGGGGAGGACACTTGGAGGAAGCTAATCATGCCGCAGCGGAAAAGAAAGGAGGAGCCAAACAGCCAAACGATGGGAGGGAAAAGTGGTTGCGAATTGGTGGGGTGCAGCTGACTGACCTCCTCGGTGCTCCCCAGGCTCGCGAGGTGCGCGGCGCGCCGCTGGAGCAGCACGTCCACGTGTGGGTGGGCGGCGCGGCCGGGCCGGACGAGAGCGGCGCCGCCGCCTACAAGGCCAGCGAGCTGGACGAGGCGCTCGGCGGCCGGTGCGTCCTGCACCGGGAGCTGCAGGGCTTCGAGTCCACGCGTTTCCTCGCCTACTTCAAGCACGTCGGCATCAGGGTGCTGAAGGGTAGCGTGAGTTCCGTGGGCGCTGCGGAGCCGTCGGCGTCGCTGGCGGCCCTTGCCGGTGGCTCCCGCCTGTTCCGGGTGTCGGGGCGGCCCGGCCGCCGCTGCCCCGTGGTCACCGAGCTGCCCAGCGTCGCCTGGCGGCACTTCTCGTCGGGAGGGGTCTTCATCGTGTCCACGCCGCACGCCCTGATGCTCTGGATGGGCCGCTACGCCGCCGCGGCCGAGAGGCTGCAGGCCGCCCAGGTGGCCGCCGCTATGCGCGACGAGGGGCAGCCCCGCGCCCTGGTGCTCGTCGACGAGGGCCGGGAGGTGCTGCTGCCGGCTGACAAGTTCTCGCTGATGACGGAGGCGCTGGACCCCCGTCGCGCCGCCCTGGAGGTGCACCACTCACCGCCGCCGTCGCACGGCGCGCACGGCCTGGACGCCCTGGACCTGGAGCGCGCCAAGGACCGGCCGCGGGTCACGCTGTACCACTGCGCGGACAAGGACGACACCTGCATGGTGACCGAGGTCAAGAGCGGGCCCCTGGACCACTCGGACCTGTCGCACTCGGTGAGTACCCTGCGGCACCCTGGCCCCTGGCCCCACCTAACTACTTGGCTAACTACTTGCTTGCGATCCCCAGGACTCGTACATCGTGGACCGCGGCTCGGTGGGCGTGTGGGTCTGGCTGGGCCGCCTGGTGGGCGAGCGCGACCGCGTCGAGGCCATGCGCAACGCGCAGGGCTTCGTGCGCAAGAAGGGCTACGCCGCGCACACGCCCATCACGCGCGTCACAGACGGCTGCGAGCCGGCCGAGTTCCGCTGCCTCTTCCGCACCTGGCACGCCGCCGCCCCCGTCGCCAAGTCCTCCAAGACCAAGGCCAAGTCGGCCACCACGGTGCACACGCGCCTGGACGCGCTGGCGCTGCGCGACTCGCCCCGCCTGGCCGCGGACCTGCGCCTGCTAGACGACGGCAGCGGGGACGCCCGGCTGTGGCGGGTGTCGCGAGCCGGGCTCGTGGGCGTGGCCGCGCGCCGCGCCGGCCGCCTGCACTCCGGCGAGTGCTACGTGCTGCACTACCGCTACGGACACCCCCCACAGCACGCCATCTTCTACTGGCTGGTGAGTGGCACGGGACACACCCATCCCATTGGTCTGGCACCCCGTGACTCCTCTAACCAGCCGTCATCCACAGGGAAGGACGTCCAGCGGAGAGCGCCAGGCCACGGCGGCGCTATGGGCCTCGGAGAAAGGCCGCGAAGTGGCTGACGAGTCCGGCTGCGAGGCTATCATCGTCAGGGTGCTGGAGGACCGCGAGCCGCCCTCGCTACGCGCCATCTTCAAGGGCAGGCTCGCGGTGCTCAGCGGGGAGGCGCCGCCCGGTGACGACAGCTCCAGCGGGCTGCCCGCCAGCTTCCTGCTGCGAGTGGACGGCTCGCAGACCTACGACACGCGCTCCGTCCAGGTAAGGCGACTCGGCCTGACGGCGGCCGCCGGATTCGAACGCAAAGCACTTTAATTCCTAAGTACATTGTGGGTGCTCGCACCCGCAGGTCCCCCGCCGCCCGTCCTCGCTGCGCTCCAGCTCCGTGTTCGTGCTGCGATCCAAGCGCGCCGGCTGGTTCCTCTGGTGCGGCCGGAGCTCGACCGGCGACGAGCGCGAGATGGCGAAGCGGGTCGCGACCAGTGCGGGCGGCGCCGACCTCATCGTCGTCTACGAGGGCCAGGAGAAGGACGACTTCTGGGTGGCGCTCGGAGGACCCAGTCTGGCTGTCGAGGAGTACGCTGTCGAGGCCAAGGAGATAGAGGAGGACAGCGCGGGCCATCAGGACACCAGGCCAGCAAGGCTCTATGCTTGTCTGGGAGCGTCGTCGTCCGCATTCGCTGGTAAGAGAGCGCCGCGCCGAGCGCCTGCCGAGCGCTGGGTAGGCAAGCCCGCCACGCCTTCTTACCCTGCCGCGATCACGTCTCTTACACTGGCTCTGCGTCTCCGCAGTGGAGGAACTGCCCAACGTGTCCCAGGAGGAGCTCTGCCCTGACGAGATCCTCATCTTGGACGCCCGTGACACCATCTTCGTCTGGATCGGTCGGAACGCCAGCAGGGAGGCCAGGCAGAAGGCGACGAACCTCGCCATTGAGTATCTCAAAACTGGTACGTGGGACATCTTCTTGGCGCGAGAACAGCGACCTCCTCTACACTCTACATCAGACAGTGAAGACCAATAAATTTATGTTTCTAGATCCCGCATCCCGAGAGTTGGACACTACAATCGTACTACTGCGCCAAGGCCATGAGCCCCCCATGTTTACAGGCTTCTTTAATTCTTGGGACCCTCACATGTGGAATGTGAGTAAAACACAACAATATTTGACTTTGCCACAATTCTCAGGGTTTTTTCTCTCACAGATCAGTATTTATGAATGTCCTTACCGATTTTACTTTTTTCTTCTGAGTTCAGGATTACCAGTCATTTGATGAAGTAAGAGCTAATCTTGAAGGCCGGCCTATTCCAAATTTATCACAGCAATCACAAGCTGACTTGCCCTGCATTCGTGAATTTGAAGACCAGGATAAGTTCCCTCTACAGTTGCTCCTCGACCCTGATATTTCTCACCTTCCACACACTGTAGATGTTTTCCGTAAAGAGGTAGGTAATGTATTTACCCATCAGTATTTGTCAACAAATGTGTTATGTAAACAGAAATAGAAAACAAAATTCTTTTCGTTACAGCTGCATCTAACTCACAGTGACTTTATGTCTGTGTTTGGAATGGATTACCCCACATTTGCTCAACTACCACTGTGGCGACAACATAGCTTGAAGAAGACTGCTGGTCTCTTTTGAAGTGAAAACACAATCAAAACTTGCAACGTACTGTATGATTGACAGCAAAATGCTTGCTACATACTTAACATTTAACAACCACAAAGATTTGTTGGTCTAGAGGCGATGGCTGAGAGCACACACCTAAATGAACTAATGAATTTGATTCTCTATTGACATCTAGGTCGAGTAGTAAAAGGGCTCTACAACAAGCACATAAATATCCCTCAAATTTAAATGCAATTTATCACTAATAAATTTCACTGAGCTTCCATGTTGATATTGCAATATGTAATAATTGGATACTTGATTTGTGTAGATAGATAATTATATAATTATCGATACATTTCAGCATTGTGAGGTACATATTTTTTTCCATCCCTCAACTATTTCCTGTTCCTCTTTAACATACACAGCAACATATTTAAGGTAAAATACCTGGTACTACAATGAGTCAAACACATGAGTATCACAAAAGATTTAATAACAACTTTAAAGATACATGAGTATCGTCAATCATACCTAAGTGCAAAAGAACCAAGCTGTACAGGGGTAACAGTTCACGGTTCAAATTCAAACTGGCAAATTGAAAGAGATAATTTTAACACATCAATAATTTAAATGCATGGAAAACTGTAGTCAACAAACCAAGAAGATTTGGAAAACAAGTAAGAGCATTTAGATTTACCATGAAAAAAGTTTACTCCATAGGAATGATGTTGACTACTACATTTGTTTAATTGCATAATGTTTAAACAGTCCGGTCACATTACCATCAAAATTTATCATTCAGAGATCAGAGAATTTCAGTCTCTTGAAGTCTTGAGTTTTACTCTGTCTTTAAGCACTAATACATTGTGCATTTTATGGAGTTTCTTTTGGAACTTTGTCATTATCTGATTTTCATCCTCATAGCAACTGTCTCCTAAGGAATATACGTATTCGTTACAAACCTTTTTACTTAGCTTTTTGAATGAAATTTCCTTGTCAGATTGTGCTTCTAAAACTTGAAGGATTGTTTGGTCCCAAGAAAATTTAGTCCTCTCTAAATCCTCCATATTCAGAGTTTCATTAAGTTTACCATTGTCCAACAAGCCTGGAAAAAAGATCCAATTAAAAATGAACATTTAAGGCAGTTTTAAAATAAATGAAGATCTGTGATAAAAGTGTCATACCAGTTTTACTCTTTTTGCCAGACTTCTCAGAAGTGTCCATTGGTTCCTCAGCTTCATGTTTGTTCTTCTTTTTCTTTTTCTTTTCCTTTTCTTCTGTTGGCTGCTCCACTACATCTTCATTAGCATTTTCATTTTTCTTCTTGTTCTTTTTCTTCTTACCTTTTTTACCTTCAGGTTTTTCATCAATATCGGCTGCAGAGGGTTCCTGTTCCTCCTCATCATTGGCATCAACTTCAGCTGTTTCAGCCGATTCCATTGACTTCATCTCAGCTTCATACTTTTCCCTCTTCTTTTTCTCTTTCTTTTCTTTCTTACTAAGTTTCTTTTCCTCCTCTATTGTGTCTTGTGTTGTTAGATGACACGCATCCATAGCATTGTTCAAATTTGAGGTATTCTCCAGCTCCATATCACCTTCTGGGTTTTTCTTGCTTTTTTTGGTTTTCCTGAGTTCTGACGTCCCATTCACAACAGATTCACTTTCAGACACCATTCTTTTCTTCTTCTTATCTTTCTTGCTCTCCTCCTTGGGATGGCTCGTTTGCGGCTCAGATGATTTTTCTTTTTTCCCATTTCTCTTGGGCTTGAGATCCGTTTCATCAGTACTTGAATCAGAGTCACTGCTATCTGAACTTTCTTGTTTCTGCTGAAGCTTTAGTTGTTTGGCCTTACGTTTCTCAGCCTCAGCCGCTTCTCTCTCCGCTGTTAGCTTAGCTTGGAAATCTTTACGAGCTTCCTCAAGAATTTTCCAAACAAATTCAATATTTTGTAGAGGTTCTGATCTCCTTGCATTTTTGATGAAGTTCTGCACAGCAATATTTCAAATGCTATGTTAGAAAAAATACAAAAATAAATATATAGGATAAAAAAATCAGTGATACTTACTGTAAAGGGTTTAGCCTTGTCTGGTAAAGTTGGTTGATCTTGCAACCACAACAACAGGCTGCGGATACTAGGTGTTAGTCCCGAGACACCATCGTCAATAGTTTTACTAACAGTTTCTTGTACAACCTCAACCCATTGTTGCTGCTTACTTTTTTGTTTTGATTGAATACCCTTCAAACCATTAGCACTGTATCGGTCATCTTCTGTCACACAGACTGTGTGTTTCACAAAGTCTTCCCTATATATAAAAAAGTAAAAGTAAAATTAACATTATAAAAATTAACTACAGGAAAATTAGAATGTAATAAACTTACCGGAAGTCTTTTAAGCAGTCAACACAAGTAAGAAAGGGGCCTCCCCTGCAACGTGTATTACAATGCTTTTCCACATCCTTTTTCTTTAAAGATTCCCCACAAATATTACAAGTGAAGAATACCATTACAACTGCAAAGAAACAAGAAAGAAATAAGTGATCACGTAAAACTAAAGGGTTAACTTTAATACTTTGCTGAGAGGATTGATAAATAAAATTGCAAAAGAATGAAAAAACATTTCATCATGCAAAGAGCTGACGAATTGATAGATAAGGTTTATATTCGAGCGTACACATGGGCCATGCACTTTCTTTTCACGTCACATAGAGGAACTTAACCTGTGAGATTTCGAACCCAACCCACCATTTCACAACAGAAAAGGAAGAGAAAAGCCTAACATGCAAATAAAAATTGTTGCATCTGCACCTGATCGAACTTACCGTCTTAATTGAAGAATCAATACACTGCAGTGGCAATTAGTTGAAATCTGCGCTTATTCTGCACGGCAGTCGCACGCAGTTTACTGCTCAGCCAGCCACAGCCACTCTGTCTGTAAACAGTGTAAACATGCGGGTGTACCCAGCTGGTGCAAGTTGGGCTGCCAATAGGCATTAGCTTTTGTCTGTTTTTTTATTTCAAAAGTTGTCTTGGTTATTAAGTTTTAATCAATTCAATATTCTTCTTTCAAAAATCAACTTTGCATCATTTTACTCCGTGCTTTGCATCATTTTTACTGCACTCAACTGAAAATAATCTCTGCTTTCTACTTTATGTGTTGGCGCCTTAACTGTATTTGCACTGATCACTGACACCACATCACACAAGACTTAGGGCAGGAAAACGACAGGTAAACATCCTAGTGCCGAGTATCTTCCGCTGGGCAAATGAGAATAGTAAATTTTATCCAAATCAATTTAGGCTGAACATATTTCAGGTGTTTTTGTGCGTTCTCGTCATAATATGGTTCTCTGATCTCGATAACCAGCTGCTTTAGCAATGTCACTGTAGGTTAGTTTACATTTAGAAGTATTTTGTTCTCTCATCCCATTTACTCAGCATTTTAATTGAATTTACTTTTTTAATTATTTTTATATGTCACCTTTTAATAGATAGCTGTATTTGAAATAGACTCTGCTGCACTCGTTGAAAATTTTATGAACATTAGAAGCATAGTAACCATTTACAAGTAATTTCATTATGTTGACAGCGTAGTTCGGCGCAGTTTCAACATTAATCAAAATGTTATGTTTCAGCCAAGAAAGAAAATGAAGTCGCCTAGGAAAGTAAAATTCATTCCTCAATCACCCTTAACCCTTAGAAGTCAGAACCGAAAGGTTGAAGGAACTACAATAAGAGTCACGAAGGGTAAGGAAAATAATTCTCAATCATCCAAATGCAAAATTAAAAAGACACATATAGTATATTTTTAGTAAGTAATGCTTGTTTAATAATAACCTGGTTTTTGCTTCATTTTAATTGCAGTCTTAAATAATGCCGCTAAACAAAAAGATTTTCAAGCTAAATCTACGACAGAGAAAAAAGGAATGAAGAAAGGGGCCCTGGCAGATGATGAAACTACCTCTGGTCATCCATCTCTTTCTCTGGGAGGTAATTAGCTCTAACCATTCATATCTTTAAAGAAATACTCAACTATGAGGTTTTTTAATGAAATTTCTAAAAAAAATTGACTTGAAACATGAAGGTGCTGAGAGTCTAAACGAACAACTGTCTTCTGTTAACACCACAAGCTCATTTTGTGTTAAAAATGACAATTCTGGACAAGTTGTCCAAGATCATGTAATAAGTGATTCTAGAGAGGGTATGTCAAAAAACTGAAGTAATTTCCTGGCATGTTTATGTTTATCTTCTTGCTCAGCATTTTGAAGTTATTTTTTCTTGGATTATTACAGCGCAAGCCAACAATGTAAAACTAGAGGCCCAGTTTGTGGATTCTGATGAGTCTATTTCTACCAGTAGTACTCTAACAGTATGGAAGATTTTGTATAACTTATTTAGATATGCCATTCTTATTTGTTACAATATAAAGTTGTTTAAATTTTTCAGTGTTCAAACTGCAGCCAACAGTTTTTAAAAGAAGAAACATTAAGTGAGCATTCCAAGAAATGCTCATCCTCTACTCTAGAGAAGAAATTAATGTCTTGCATCTTTGCTTCTTGCAAAGAAACTTATACATCTAAACGATCATTGATGAGTCACCTAAGAACAGCTCATGGATCAAAATTGGCACCATCTGAAAAGCTTGAACAAGAAGGTAGTTCACCTGTCCAAAATTTTATTTTTGTTTTCAATTTATACAGAGATTAACAGAGTATGCAAACATAAACTGATACATCTGCAATAATTGTTTATCTTATCTTACTTCTAGGTTCTGAGAAGCAAGCTATTCCTGGAAAGTTAATTGTACCCCTCAAACGCACTAAAGAGGTGTATAAAGTATGTATTTCTGTGATGAAATGTTCTGGCATGAATATTGTGATGAAATATTTCATTCAAATAGAATTGTCAACTTACTTTCTGTTATTTTCAGTGCCCAAGCTGCAACGGACATTTTAGACGAACTGACAACTTTGAACGTCATTATGAGAAATGTTCCACATCTACTCTGAAAAAGAGGAGAACACCATGTGTCGTTAGTTCTTGCACAGAAACATTTTCACACAAGTTTGCCATGGTGAATCACCTAAAGGATGTTCATAGTGCAAAGATATCTCCCCCTCAAATACTTACTTTTCAGACAGAAACAGAGTACAAACTGTGGAAAGATGATGAAGAAAGCCGTACTTTTTCTTACTTTTCCAGTGAGTCAGGATGCAAAAAATACAAGGTTGGAAGCAAAGGTTCTCGCAAGTACTTTTACTGCCAATATGACGGACCTCTAAGGGCTCATAGGAAAAAAGGAGAGCCAGAGAGACTGACATCAAGAAAGCGTAAAAGTGGGCAGGTGAAGACAGGCATGGTATGTCTTGCAAGAATGGTTGTTACCACTCTTCCCGATGGTTCAGTTCATGTGGAGTACCATCCCACCCACAATCACAAACCAGATAGTAGTGACTGTGCTCATCAGCCTGCAACTTCATCTGTAAATGATCATATTCAAAATCAAATTGCTCTCCGAGTCCCACCCACTGTAATTTATGAAAGTTTACAGTCGGTTCAATATGATGGCAGAAACAAAGAGAGAGGAAAACCTGTTCCTCGCAGTATAGCTGTTTCTAAAAGAGCAATTCAGCAACGGGCCATTAAGTTCAGAAAAACAATGAGGCTCCATGAGGAAGACAGTATTTCTACTTGTCTTCTCGTTGAAAGGCTTAGGCAAGAGGAATATGATCCTATTGTAATTTATAAGCCACCAGGTAAACCCATCGTTGGGGGACCTCCAGGAATAAATTGTCTCCCAGAGGATATTGATAGTTTATTTATGTTGGGTCTACAAACCAAGGAACAGAAATGTTTAATGCTAGAGGGCTGCAAGAAAGTTCTTATTGTGGATACTGCTCGTTATGTTACTCAATTTGAAAACAGTAAACTCCTGAATTTTATTGTGATCAATGAAAATAACAGAGGTGTAGCAGTTGCTCATTTTATTACAAATTACATGACTGCAGACGTTATTGGATATTTTGTTGAAGCATTGAGGCTCAAATTTGAAGAAGACGGTCAAACACTCAAAATTAACTGCGTTATGTCTGGCGATGATCCACTTTTAATAAAAGGAATACAGCAGGGCATGGGGTTGACATTACCTCATATTCTGTGCCTATGGAATGTGGACAGAGCTCTTCAAGACGCTCTTCAGAAAAAGGTTGTGACATCTGTCAAGGACCAACAATACATTAACTTACCAGACCTCAAAGACCAAATTTATAGTGATCTGATGGGTCTTGTGAATTGTAATGATAAATTGCAATTTGAAGAATTAGCTGCCTTGTTTAAAGACAAATACATTTCAGATGCTCCAAAATTTGTTAATTATTTTGAGAAGAATTACATGAATACGCCTGAAAAATGGGCTAAATGCCATAGAGAAAATTTAGGTGATTGTAACATTGACTCAATTTCTTTTGCTGAGTTTTTCCAAAATAGACTGAAAACTGGATTCAGCCAAAGAGTGTCTCACATACGAGTGGATGATTTAGTCAATCATCTGTTGGATATTGAAAAGTATGACAAGACAGCAAGACAACGTGAGGCAAATGACAGAATAAGTGCAACAACAGAAGAAGTTGAAGAGCGTCATAACAACAGTTTGCTGATGCCTGATGACAGTATTGGTGAAAAAAGTTCTAAATTGTGGCTTGTTAACTCGTCTAAAAATGATGAAGTCTACAAAATTGAGTGTTTATGGGAAATTTGTCAAAAAAATGATTGTTGTGACAAATGTCCTTCTGCATCTTGCTCCGGTCTTTGTTCTCACCTTTATCACTGCACTTGTCCCGACACTGTCCCTCTCTGTAAGCATATTCACAAGTTGCATTCCTTACTCACACAGAATAGTTGTCAGCCTGAAGAGGAAATGAGCTCTGAGTTATTTCAGATTGGCAATGACGATTCTGTTGACTCATCTGACGTCGAAGACTGTTATTCCAATTTACACAATGGTTTAGCTACTTTATGTGGAATAGTAGAAAAAAGGCAAGTTCCATCACATCTTCTGGAAACATGTGTGGCAACTATTACGTCTCTAATTGAGAAGTGTCAAGTCCTTCAGAAAAACCAACCTGTTCTTGATTTTGTGGAATTATCACCAGAAAAAAATGTGTCTGTACCTGATGTTCAACTGCTACCCTTGAAAGAGGGCAAAAATGACAGAGAGGATGGAAATGATGCAAATGTGATGTCTGCTGCCAAGAGTGTCAAAATTTATAGTGGTAACAATGATAATCTTCTTGTCTTGAAGAGTGAGAATAATAATGATGAAAGCAGTGAAGATGTTGATGATCCAGCTTATGTCACTATTGATAATCCAATAGACCCACTGGAGACTTTGCTGTGCATTGGTGACATCAATATCAACCTCCTTCATGTAAAATCTTTAGATCTAGATCTGAATGAAGAAGAGGCAAGAACTTACAAAATCGTTTCACCTTCTTTCAGAGTTGGATGGATGTTGCCTGACATTGTCAATGCATTTTTGAGCATTTTATCAAGTAGTAATGACAAAACTTACTTTCTGTCAACAGATTCTGTTTTATCTCTCTTTCATGGTGATTTACTTCCTCATCTCTTTAATAATGAAATGCCAGAGAAAAATATCTTCATATTTCCTCTAAGCCTGTCAGAAAATCATTGGGCAATCCTTGTTTTATTTGCTGACAAGGCAGAAATGAGATGCTTGGATCCCATCATGGGAAAGCTGACACCAGATTTGATTAAACTGGTGCATTCAGTCAATAGCATTATGAAAATAGTTCGACCTGATATATCAAGATGGTCTCTTCGATTTATTTCCCATCTTAATCAAACTGACGCAGTAAATTCTGGTGTACACATTTGCTGGTTCGCCCATGAAGCCATTTTGCAATATGAGAAGCATAGTCCTCTTTCCGATATCAGAGAATACAGGAAATTTATTTGTGATACAATTTGTGGACATTGCTTGGACTATTCACAGAACGACGATACATGTGCCCTTTGTAGGAAGGAGTTCCTTAATATTGCCACCATTTCCTGTTGTAAGTGTGGTCGTTCATTCCATTGCGAGTGTATTTCAATTCCATTAGACAGCTCTGATTTTGTGTGTCCATTAAGACAATAGTGTAGTAAATTAAA